TGGAATGCGGGATTTGAAACGCCAACAACAAAATGCGATCATCGTTCGGTTCGCAGCTAGCAGTACCTGTCAAATTAAAATGCGGATCCAGATGTTGGCATACCCTACATATCGTTGGGACAGGTGAATGAAGGGGTTTGGTAAATAAGCCTGACGAAAAACCAAATAGGAATTCCCATTTAGGGTAGTGATGGACCTGTAGGCTACTCCGAAGTTGAATTCACTCTTACGATCATGCGAACAGACAATTAGCATTATATGAAGTGTAAGTATGAAGTGTTGAACTTCTCCTACAATGATATGAACATGCCTTACACTTTATATATAATTGATATATTAGTAGTATCGAAAGCCTACTTATAAATGAAACGGAACTAGTAATTCTTCAATATTTTATGCGACCGAGGCTCTTATTCAACCAAAGTTGTTCTTATATTCCTAATGCGCATCTGTATCCTGACATACTTGACGAAATTTACACGTGGTCAGAAGCATTCACAATCGTCTTAAGCCTCGCTTAATTGAGTTCCTTGCGCTTGGTTACGCTGAGACGTTTCTTATGACTAGTTATTCAAATGATTTTTTCTCAACCTGGATACCCGTCTTGTCTGATGCAGTTGCCCTCTTTCTTCGTTAACGCACTTTTCTTCTTCAATATCCCCATTGTGAATAATCCAAGACGAAGTTCTACAATTATCTTTTCTTATCTTTATCTTCGGAATCTGCGCACAAATTTCAGAACTTTTTAGAAATGTTCTGTTGGCTTCTGTGAAAGAGGCGCTTGGAGACCTGGAGCATTGACTTGTCGACATGATTGTTCGCTGAAGGTGACTTTAGAATTCAGGCCAAAGCAAGAAGAAGAGAAAAATGCGACAATATGCTGGAACCTCAAAGGGCCGTTTCTAAAGCTGCCTCTTTACGGCCCCTTTTTTGGTTAGAAAATAATTCTAATATGCTTCCTCAGTGAATAAAGTGACTCCAATTTTCATCTGGTCTTTGGGCGACTGACAGCACAACGGTCCACAAATAGGCGAAATTAGGATGCATTTCCACCATTTGATTTCAGCATCTGATGATACCAAAAAATGTTTGTTAATTTCAGCCTGACTCGAGACCTTTCCCCAATAGTAAGCCTCTTAAAAATGAGATAACTTTCTTAGACTGAGCTACCAACTGGGAGATAAGGGCCTCTGGATTCTTAAATGTTTCTCCGTTAGCAGGAAAGATCTGAAGAACTTCATGGCCGGTCAGTATTGCAGTTGTTGAAATCCGATGAAAGCGTCAACTTTCAAGAAGCAACCTTTTGCTCCCCAACCTCTCATCAAATGCAAAGGTCATGTGCGAGCCGCTGAAGTGGGCAGTATCTTGAGTTATAGATTGAAGAAAAGAAAAAATATCATTCCATGCAATAGCAATGTTTCGAGCTTACCGAACTGGAAGTCTCGAAGCGCCACATACTATACGTCGATACTGAAACGTATTTGAAGACTCGTGATTCAGCTCTTCAGGGCTTGTCACTATGACCGAATGGTCGGCAGAGTAGCAAATATCCACGGTCCACCAACAAGGCCAAGATGCCGCACGTTGATGGGACTGCTGAGGAAATGGTGAGGTTTGCAAGCTGACCGGTCTCACACTATCCCCGAAATGAACTGGCACAAGATGCGCCAACAGTTCGAGTTCTAACCGTTTCTATGCCTCTATCCCCACATGTCCATCTATCATTCATCCATCCATCTAGTTACCTATCCCCAATTCCATTTATGAACCTTGACGCTTATCTATCTACCTATCAGAGGCCTCGGTTTCCCATCTCCCAGACGTCTTTGTCTCTATCGTCGTCCGTGTGCCGGCCGGCTAGCCCCTGCTTCCTATTGCGCTACCATAGGTCGTTTTCAGATGGGCACAATGTGAGTACAGGCCGTCTGTTGTCTCTTCTATACTGTCTGTATGCTGTTGGTCAGGTCCGGCAACTATGGCCTGGCCGGCTGGCTGCGGCCGAGGCGGAGGGCCCACTCACTTGGTCCTCGATATGACCCACTGTATCTCGCCTCTTGCTCGCTGCCTCAATCGCTCTCTTGTCTCTCTGTCACGCAGAGAAGCACAAACACTAACATACACTGGAATACATGCACTTACACTTACCCTAGGCCCCCGAGGCAATTCGACTGTTCCGATAGAGCAAAGATTCAGCCCTAGCCTTGGGCAATTAGCTCAGCCACAAGGCACACTCAAGGAAGGACAGTCTGACCAAGTGTAGTGGGAAAAGGACAAAATTGGGAGAGGGGGGTATGGAAAAACGTCATAATAGCGCAAAATCTAATATTCATCACAGACTCGCTCCACCAGACTCGCATCTACACAATTTCAGCTAGCGATCATAAATTTTGTCTTTCTATTAATGCCTGTGACTTCCTCTTTATTTATACATTCATGTCTCTATGTCTCTGTCTTTCATAATGCCAAACTGTATATCCACCGATACCGTTTTTACTTTGCCCATGCTAAAAATGCATGTGTGCACATGCTTCAGTCCAGCCTCTTTACATATCCTTTCTTTTATTTCAGATTATTAAAGAATTTCCCCAATAGGCGCAAAGGTGCACTAATAACCACCCTCGAGAATGCTGGAGCATGAATGAGGACGAAGCGATCCATTGAAAGATTGACAAATATTTAAGAAAACTGAGAATCTGGGAGTAGGCCAAATGGTCTGCAGGCATGTTTTTCCACAGAGGCACACTAAAGGGGCCAAAGGAAATGCTCATTAATGAGAACTGATTAGGCGCGATCACTTGGAAAGTCAGACTTGTAACCTCAACTTCTGGTGGAATAACATGCAACACTGGGCACATAGAACTGATCTGAGCGGAAATGAGATGTGGACTTTACCACATTGATGCATTTGGAGAAGGAGAGTTGATACCAAACAGAA